GTTCTGGCAAATTAATATATCTATTTATTTAATGAAACTTAATTTAAACGAGAAATAAGCTGAAATATAATATATTGCACCCAGTTTGCCTGCTCTCAATTAGCCGCAATCTAGGGTTGCCAGGTGAAAATATATAGTTTTCATTTTAATATCATATATAATAATTATCTATTATTATTATATAATATATAGCCGTGTGGTCCCGGCATAGAATAGGCCACCCCTTCATATCCCGGTGGTGTCGTAAGAGGCGACTAAGAAAGGGCGAGAGATGGGCAGCAGCGTCCCTCTTAAAACACCTCTAAAAGCTGACTGCGGTTGCCAACCCGCCTGCCAAGCGTGGCAATACTGGCAAAAGTACAGTTAAAGGCTGATATGACGATGATCTATTATACTACTAATGTATCTCCATATATCTTATATATAAAATTCTCGTGTCACAGTGTTTGTTACCAAACTCCTCCGAAACGGCTTTACCGATTTTTATGAAATTTTGTGTGCATATTGGGTAGGTCTGAGAATCGGCCAACATCTATTTATCATACCCCTCAAAGATAAGGGTGACCGTCCCCAAAAAAAATTTTTTTTTATTTTTTTACATATGTTTCCATTTTTATTTTATTATGATTTAGCATTGAAAAATACATACAAATTCAAATTTTCACGCTTTTACGATCAACCCCTGTTTTTTAATCGCAATCTTTACATGCCTCAATAGGGTTGCAAGATGACAATCGAATATAATAATTGTAGTACGATATATTTTCAAGTATAGTTCTAGAAATATGTATATGGTAAAACGTTTACGGAGTCAGCTAGTATAAATATAATATTTACGTATTATATATGTTATTTTAGTATGTTAAAATTATTATGTGAAATCTTATTCATTACCACTGCCCTTCGTACGCTTTCTGTTTTAACCTAATGGTTAGCTGGTATAGAATGTCATATAGCTTCAAGCTCGCCACTTGTACAAAGTTTTATTGTACAATAAAGAATAAATTTTCAACCGACCTCAAAAAAAGGAAGTTTTCAATTCGGTTTTTATTATGTATATTTGTTACCTCATAACTCCGTCAGTTATAAACCGATTTGGAAAATTCATTTCTCATTTGAAAGGATATACTTACAGAATAGTCTCATTTTATCAAAATTAATTCAAGATTTTAGTTTTGAAATGAAAATAACTGGTTTTTATATCTATAATATAAATATCTTTATACATTTACTTTCCACTGCCATGTTTCTGTATTTATATAATGTATAAATATATAAATATGTCAGAGCACGGGAATATACAATACTGTATTTGGGCCCATAAACATGATGCGGGTCATAGTTGGTGGCAAAATCCTCTAGTCTATGGCATTGTGAGCGCCACACGCACCGCGACGAATCCATGACGAATTGCCAGCTATCCCGGCCAAATCCCGGATTTGTCCCCTTATATTATTATTTCTCTTATTGCCTATGCCCTCCTTTCATTCTCCTACATTATTCATTGTGTGTCCTACAGTATACCTACTATTGTTAATTTGTTATTTTCCCTTTCTTCAACCCTACTGGGAATAGACAATTTTTTTTTGTATTTTTTTTTTACAAATAAACAACCCGATTGTTCATTTCGATTCCCTTTCTTGAGCTACATACTAGAATAGACAACGTTTAACTCTACATGTTTTTTTTTTCTCTAAAACATCAAGTTTGCAACAATTAAAGGGACCCCTCATTTACTCAATTCAACCCTCCAATCGGCATCCATCACACGTCAATGGCAGACTATAAAAAATAAATAAAATATCAGATTGTCGCGGTGGTTCGTGAAAAGATTCCGCCATGTTTTTTATTATTTTATGGGCACCGCTTGGGTTTCCGAAGCGCACAAAAGATTAGCGCGCGGGGTGCAGTAAAGAAACAATTTTCCAGTTTTTCCCGCGCGCCGGGGGAGCCCACCGCTTTATAGAATACTCAGACATGATAAAAATACCATATTACATTTAAACTTTCTTGGTGCGCCGTGCCCTCGTTGTCTGGATCACTGCTCTGCTAGATTGCTTCGGCTCATCTCATATTGTTGTTCATATATAAGTATTTAGTTTAGTCTATTTCTTTGGTTATTTCCAATTTCATCTAGAGATTTCTAATCTTTACTAGATATTTAAATTCTAGAATTTTCGAAAAAGGAATTTAGTTTATTTCAATCATCCCCCTTATGGGGGAGTCTCATATTTAGCAATGAACAGTTAACATTAGATATGCCAATGATGAATTTTCAAAAAAATAGAAATACTATAGATATAACTGAGTTTACACATTTAATTGAATATGGCTAATTAACTGAAGCACTTTGAATGTATCTGAATACTTTTAATTAAAAATTGATCAAATGAATGTATTTTTCTATATCTGTCTCACCTATGAAGTTTAAATGCCTACCATTTCATCATTCACAAGTTGGTATAAAAGCAAAACGACCATAATAATTTCAAACAGAACATTTTATTGTTTAATCCGTTCAGAAAATAAAATTATAAAATTAATCACATTGACATACAAGATGGCTGTACACCAAATAGCAATATTAATATACATTTACGAGTTAGATTCAAGAAATTAAGTTTCAGACAATGAGAAACCTAATGCGTAATCTATAACCTAACTTAGATATGATTCAACTACACAATTTATGTTAAAACTCATATACAGACAAATAAAATAACTAATAAATTTAGATCATCAATAAAATTACACGTCCCGCAGTCAACGTTGCTCGCGTTCACTGTTCTACTGGTAATGACCTCAATGTTAACAAATTGGGAAATAATAATATATAACACAAACAAAACAATTCAGTCTCAACGCCCAAAAATATCCCTTAAAAATATTAAACAAATATCATGTTAAAATACTCATGTTTGTGACATGTACAGCGAATATGTCGTACACGCGGCATCTAATCGTATAAGCCCCTCAGTAAACCGTACTTTATGGTATGCCACTAAAAAAACTAATTTTTTTTTCTACTTACATTTTAGTGTGGTCATCACTAAAATGTATGCCACATCACTATTTCAACATACTTTTAACCCCTCCTTCCTAAAAATGGCGACGTCACAGTCCCCTGTCAAACTTTATAGTTTTATTTATTTGACATCATTATACTTGAGACATTAATTCAAAATATAGTGGAGTTATAGGTGTTTTATAATTATTAATTGTTTAAGAGACCATTATGTTTACATTAAATACAACATAAAAACAAATATTTCAAATCAAATGTCATTATGTAAAATGATGATAATGGCAAACAACAAAAATTGACAGACGGCTGTGACGTCGCGACTCTGTCACTATTCCAAATACGAAATGCCGTTTGGCATATAATGAAATTCGACCTAATAACATTGGAATAACAATTCAATTTTAAACGCCAACGAATTCTTTATTGATTTTTAAAACTGACGTCAACTGTCAAATGTGATTTCGTAATTGGAATAGAGTAACAAGGAGAGCGTAACGATCCGGTCGTTTAGTGGCGTACCAACGTCGGTACCAGCATCGGACGTACTGCCGTTAATTTTAATATAACCAACATGCATTGTACAAAAATACGGCAATAAAAGTAATTATCTTAGTTTATCTAACATTACGTACGTTTTATATTATAGAGGAGAAAGGGGAGAAGTGTACCGTCGTATCTCGAACACAATCAACGCCACGACTAATTTTTAATTTATTCTGTAGAAGCAACTAGATCTCTATATAACGCACATACATATATTAGCCATGACCGCGTGTTGTAGTGTTGTACCCGCGCAGTGAGCCCCCAGTCACAACACTAGGGGGGCCACTACGGCGTTACGTACGTCACGCGCGTAACTCACGGACTTTATTACACCTACCGTATACTGTATACGTATTTTTGTTTTCACTAACTAAACTCTCGTGCTTCTATCCCATAAACGTAATAAATCGGCGAATATTAACTATTTACGTATATAATGATTGTATTTACTAGCCAAAACAATAACACTCTAGCAACTACCACCGTTAAATCAATTACAATAATTTAAAATTCTTAAGTAAATCTTATTATCTCACTTAGGCAAGTTAAAGTTGTGTTTTTACGTATACTTCGTTTTCGAATAGTTTTTTTTTTTTTTATTATTATTATTATTATTTTTATTAAATACATCTAATTACGTTTTATTTAATCTAAGCTCGGAAACGCGTAGCTAAGTTTTATGGCGTTGGAATTAGTTTGTGCCTCTCGTGACAAGAACAATGGCGTTCGAAGGGTTCACTTAGAAACACCTGCAAGTTACTCACTAAACGTACTCATTATTAGTATACACATATTACAATCAACGTTATACGCATGTTTTTTTTTTTTTAATTCAATCGTATACATAAATTCCGGTGCAAAACATATTTCGAATATAGGCGCTCATATTCGATTACGTAACGCAAAATCGTAAAAATCGCAACATCGATACACAGGTCGATTCGAGTCGTCCGTTATCGATATGAATATTTGAATTGTTCATTGATGAGTTTGCACCCGTATTCACCCCTTCACTGTAACGTTTGATTTATTGGAATTTTGATAAATTAATGAATTAAATAAAAAAATTCAATCAGATTGAATCGTACAGTGTTAAGAGGTTGGCCAATTGCAAAAACGAAGATTTGTTCTAAAGGAACTTAAACTAGCGACCGCCTTCGAGCTTGGGCCGAGGGCGCTGCAAGCTCTCGGGCGGTCGACAGCGGCACCGTATTCCTGGGGATAGCCAGTCGCTATCTGATCACAGGGATACGGCGTTACAAGCAAGGGAGGCGGGAATTTGGAACTAAAATGCGAGCACCCCCTTAAAGACTTCGTTTTTGCAATGGCCAGACTAAGAACAGGGGTGCACGAGATAACTCGTGGTTGAGTTGGGTGCTAGCTGGGGATCGCGCCTCTGAATGAGATGGGTTTTGCTATAGGGGGTACTCACGACGTCGGGAGTGGAGGCGCCGTCGTGGCTGCTGTCTGGCGCGGAGCGGGGCTCGCCGTTGGCGTCGGGCGGCCGCGCCGACTCCCGCTCGTCGATCACCAGGTCGATGGGCATCTTGCCCTTCAGACAGCTGATGTAACGGTGGCAAAAGTTGTCGCACAGCTCGTGAACCTGGTGGCAACGGTTTACTGTTGAGGCGGCGGTCTGTACATATCATTTATTACTACTCCTCTAAGGGCTTCTGCATCACGTCTTTAAGCAGCTTTCGTTGTACAGAAAGGCCTTTCACATTGCTTTTAATACATGAATAAGTTTCAAAGCCATTTTATCTCCATAAAATAATTTAAAAGATACAACAACAATAAATTCTTGTTTTATTGCTAGGACTCGAACCCAGACATTTCAAACCGATGTTTTTGCTGTACTGTCCGGTGACAACTCACATTTATTTGTATAGATATCTGAAAGTGGGATTTCTCAGCGAGGCAAACAGTTATAATGGCGAGTTCAGCAACACCTAACTGTCAGTTGGCCTAAACAGGCGGGACCCGAACCCGCGACCTTTACACTAGTATCAGCATACAAAGCTCGCGACAAAAAACGAGTCAACACGAAACAAAGGGAATACATTTGGACGCAACCGAGTCGGCCCAACTGTCGCTCCGGCTCGAGTTAGAAACATTCGTAAAAACTCAAAACGAATCGTAAAAAAGGAACAAAATCCGTTTTTTTTTTCCATCCATCCGATAAAATACGGCCCCCGGCGTGCGCGTATTAATTTTGTGCGTCGGCCTTATAAATTTTCATAGGCATAATTAGTTTAGAAATTAACATAAGGCAATAAAAAGACTAACGAAATTTTTAGATAGAATTTACATGGTGAAACGCAATAAAACGGCAGGTGGGTCCGGGCGGACGGCGCAGGCGCATGCAGCCCTCGGCCCTCGGCTCTCCGCATCTTGGCCTCCTGGCGGATTTGGAAATAGAATAGAACGCAACTCGCAGGAAACGGAAACAACGCTGCCGCCGTTGACAGCTAATTATCTCACCGAACCGCTAATTCCCTAATCGACAGCTTTTTCCACATTATATTGGGCGCAGTAAATGCGCACGCGCCGCCTCTCCGTGTGGCCAAATATTGTAGTTTGTTTATCATAATTTGAATTTTACAACCGACCGTTGAAATTCATATTTATGACTGTGTGAACTTTATTGATACTAGAGATTATAAACGGCGGTGCGTAGTCCGCGCGGGCAGCGTCCGCGCGCGGCGTTTTTCAAGTATGCCTGTCACTGTCAAAATCTTGATTGAGAGCGCTTTTATAAGCTCACACGGATGACAGCGTAAACACACTGTTCGAAATAAAATTTCATTCTAATCCCCCATTGCCTTGAAGCCGATACTATTTTCGATTTTACTGACAGTCACTGAGATTTGACATCATAACTCTTCGAGGATATTCAAATTTGGAACTGTCCCCACAAAAATTCAGTAAGGATGTAATGTTGACCCGTTCCATAACAACTTAAGTCATGCGTCTTCTGACCAAAGAGTTATATTCGTGTGAAAGTATATTTTGGATGCGACGTTGTTAATAAACTGTAATGCCTTTAATGAGATATTACGGCATTCCGAGTCGACTTCGGGCCGATTATCGTTTCGAACATCAAACTCTTTCCAGAAATTTAAATTTGGAATGAGCTACTCACGGATTGAGATATGGTGTGTTTCTGAACGAATACTTTTTATTTAAACTTGGAATGAAATGTGATATAATGGCTGTTCGTTGACGTATAGACGTTCCCTACTCGAATGACTGTCATTCTTTTGAATTTAGAATCGGAGGAACGGATTTTAAAATAGAACACGTTTTCGATTTTGTGACTGTATTGCAGATGCGAGTTTAATTTTATTACTAGTTAATTCTCAGGATGCTTTCATAAAGGCATGTCGTTTGTGGAGTATTTTGAAAGTTTTTAAGTGTTTGCTGTGTGGTACGGGCTGGTGCGAGCGCTGCCAGAAGCGTGGGCCGGATAAGATCTCATGTCGTAATCTGTGTCGCGGTCGATTCGCAACTAAAAGGGTTTTTTCTCGTTATAAGCCACTTTCTCTGTGCTAATGCGCTATGTGGGTGTGACTAGGTGCCGCATAAATTGGAACGTTTATTATGCAGTAAAATAACGAATTGCCAGCGAATATTACGTCAATATTAAATTTATAAGACGTTACATGTACCAAATAGACACTTTCGTCTTTTTTTGACAGAATAAATAAAATGATTTTCAAATGTAAATAAATAAAAACAACGTTAAAATATTTCATGATACATATGTATACAAACTATAGGTATATACAAAAGGTATGTACAAACACGTACGGTGGACGCATATTTTGGCCGACATTTCTGATCCGCGCACAGGGCCGGATTCTTTTTTTTTTTTATATGAATAAAAATCAACCGGTCGAACATCCCACATTCAAATGAGACCTCGATTGCTTCTCACCTGACTTCACTTCGGTACACAGATAATATATATTTCTAGCAGCGACACAACGTTTTTTCTTTTATCTGCAATCCAGTTCTTAATTTGAAAAAAACTAAATCCAATTACCTATACGAGTTATTTTTTTATGAATTAACGGTCACAAGGTGGCGTGTCGCGTAACTAAATATATTAATCCAGTCACAGTATTAAGAGTGTGTTGTATAAACGTTGTAAAACGGCGGTCGGGGTGTCGTAAACCGGGGTCCCAGGTTCGAGCCTCGGCCCGTAAACCAACAAATCTGACCTACATCGTAAATCACTTAGCCACGTTGTTACAGATAACGTTTACGAGTTAGAAACAAAATATGAAAAAAATATACAACTCGAGTTTTGTTTGTTGCTTTTTAATAACGGCTTTTTATAGTACGCGGTTAGATGTATATTATTTCTTATTACAAACAAAACGCTATATAAAATTACAAGGCAATGAAGTAAGCGAACATTGATAAAGGTGGATTAAGAATAATAACCTCTCATTCTATGGCGACGAAAGTATTTATTCAGAAGATTTCGAAATTTGAAAAAGGAACAAATATAATGTTGGTACCAACATTACCACAGGAATCCGAGAGTTCACACAACGTAATTAGGAAAGAGTCGACGGGAAGGACGATGCAGAGTAAAAAAAAAAAAAAGAAAACTAGCTAGCGACCGCCAATCACAGGGCCCATCGCGGCACCGAAAAGGACTTATGGAAGCAGTGTGTTCGCCTCCGGCCGTATTTAAAATATTAAAAGCATAAATCAAAAATGTTATTGGATATTTTAATGTAAATATAATCGGGTTCGTTAAAGTTGTCCGTGCCGGGAATACCAAGCGACTTTTTCTATTACGTCACTGTAAATGCGCACTCCGTTATGTACTTCAGAGGTTGTATTTTTTCAAACAGGACATAATTGTTCTTTATGAGAGAAATCTTTGTACACTACTTTTTATTGAAACCCATCGATTATGGTAAAAGGTTAAAAAACAGTGCACTTAACGAGATCTTATTGTATGCGCTAGTTGAATTGAACTTTTTTTTCTTTATTTTTAATTATTATAAAGTTGAAAAAAGATCACCTGTGAACAGAGTGTAGTGAAGCGGAAATGGATCGAAGTAACGGAATCTTTTTTTCTTTTCTCCCAAACGACAAAAACCGTAGACGAGATAAAAACTGACGTATAGGATATGAGCATCGAACAAAAAATCTTTTTTCAATAACAGACAGAAACACGCTCTATACGCAGACTCACGAGGCGCGTTTAGGAAACTAGAAATGGAATAGATATGTAGCAATCTTAATATAAATACAATAGCATGTTGCTTTTAATAAAAAAAGAATCGATTCATTAAATCGAATCGACGATTCGAGTGATTTTCTCCAATCGACTTCGGCCCTCGGGCCGATATTTTGAATTTCGAACAACGTATTATTTTTATTTTATTTTTTTAATGGCCTTTATCTCGCCCTCCGGCCAACGATTCGTACAGAGGTATCGCATTACAGGTTATCTCGTTACAGGCCAAGCTTTTTGTATTGGTACGTACTTTTTTTCACCGAATTTACCGGTTTCTAACATACCTCTAGTCCGATCAATGCCGACGCCGGATATTTTTATGGAATCCGCTGTGAGAACGACTGCTGGACGAGATATCTCGTTTCTCGAGATCATTCGTCTTGATATAGACGTTAGTCAAACTAGTTTTGTTCAAACGTGACCATAATATTGACAAGTTAAATTAATTCTTTGCCGTGCGACACGGCCACATTGTTAAATAAAAACTACTGCGGATTTAAATTTTATGCCTCTTATTAATGCCACCACGCGCAAACTGTTCGATTTGATAGCGAATAGCAAAAAGTGTACGTCCTGTCGTGTTACCGTTACAATTGGAACGTTTCGATTGAGAGTATAATGGCGCGAATTGGCAATGCGACACACGCAAGAAACTGGACCGGTTCCCGAACGGAACACGCCGAAATGGGAGATATAAAGGAAAAACAAACAACGCCAGAGGACCGAGCGCGTTCCCATTCAGCGCGCCGGCGAACACCTGACCGCGGTTCCGAAAACGATGTCATTTTTCAAAATTTAAATATCGAATATTCAGAACTGTATGTGTTGTGAACAGGCCGCGTCGGAACTCGTCTCGCATTCACCTCGCCGTGCGTGCGAGCGTTGCGTGTAACCGCGAGATCGATACCATATCTCGATACCGAATCGAGCCCTCGGATAATCGAAACGATGTTATGTTATGCGATATTTCCGAAACGGGTTTTCATATCGATCGTCCAAATGTATTCCACTTTCTTAATACTGAAATGATTAGAAACCTTATGTACTTGATACTTACTTTTTCTAATTCTAATAGGTGAAACCGGAGTACTTGTATTGCTTGCACCATCTGAAAAGGGATACATGTGGTTTAGTAATGTAATAGAGGATATACGAATTAAGGGTAAGTATAGGATATAATATATGATGTCTCGATTTAGAACTCAATCTGACAAAGGCAAGTGAGCAACAATAGTACGGAGACGTACAACGGTGCCCTGCGGTGCGTAGGGTTGCGAACGCTAACTCACTGTCCATTTTGTGAATTGCATCGATTGTGGGTTTACACTTAATTCGATTAAAATCGATTTTTCAGTCTACTTGAAGCAGCGAAAAGGAGGAGGTTCTTCCTTGGTAGTATTTTTTTTGTTTTGTTATTTAGAATTTTATCATTTATTTATAGATTTAGAAAAGCCTTTTTTGTCTGAAAGGATTGGTGTCATAGAATTATTTCAAAATCGATTCAATAGTTTACTTTTTAAATCAAACGTAACTGGTTTTTCCATGATCGAAGTCGATTTTTTTTTGTGGAACAAAATCTACTTATTCGTTACTAAAACGACTGGTAGTTTTAGTGACGATTCGCGCCAAAATACGCTTTATTATTCGTACAATTTCACGGTACGCTTGTAGTGATGTGTTTAACGAGCGTTGTTTCTCACTTTTTTGCATGTTGCCTAGATTGAGTGTATTATAATTAATTCGTTTACACTTATAAAGTATTATTCCGAGAAGTGGGCGCTTCTAATTGGCAAGCCGCCCATGACAATTTAGTGTAAACATTTGCGGATTAACCTTACGCCTGAGTGATATGTAAAGTGAGTTCGATTAACTTGGCCACAATTGTAAACACCACTGTAAATAAGTGTTTACGATTTTAAGACAGCCATTAGAAAACAATATAAACATGTCCAACTCGAAAAATATCTTTTGTATGTTGCAAGAGGAGGTGTATTGACGTCTCGTATGCATAAGCCTAAGTGAATTAATCCGTTTTAAAGTTTCAAACGACTTCAAACAGAATTTGTTTCTCGAATAGTCGATATATATTTTTGTGTGTTACGCGATGTGTTTACCGGTTTTGAATCGATTTTTATGATTATTACAATCGATAGGGTTTATTCCCTAGTTTTTTATTTATAACACAGAAGGCAGCTATTAGTATATCATCATCATCATCATCATATCAGCCTTTAACTGTCCACTGCTGAACATAAGTCTCTCCTTTAGGGGGGGGGGGGGGGGTTTGCCAATAGTTGCCACGCTTGGCCAGACGGTTTGGCAACCGAAATTAAGCTTTGGAAATGTTTTAAGAGAGACACTGCTGCTCATCCCTTGATAATTTAACTCCCTTAGTCTCCTCTTACGACACCCATGGAAAAGAAAAAGGTGGCCTTTTCTATGGCGGGACCACAACCCTCATGTTGTGTAGGAATTGGAACTATGTCACGATTTATAAATATACAAACAAAATAAAAATAATGTTTAATTGGGAATTTTCTCGTTTTATGAATGTAGAAATCGCAGCCCTATTACATAAACTCATGTGTATTCTATAATATATTTTATAGTGTATTCTATAGTGAATCAGCAATGAAACATTTTTGAAATGTAAACGAACGATCAAGCTTCGGGCCGAGGAAGCGAGGTCACACTTAGGGGAGTATTACACTGTCATACGTAATATAGGATCCTGTCTAATCCATTATATTAATTCGATATTTACAACACATTTTATTTTTTTATTATCTTACCAGAGGGAGATTTTGTACAAAAGTCGATTGCTTGGGTACCTCTGTCCCATTCGTGTTTCAACCGTGAAGCAGTTGTGTTTGCATGGCTGTGTTTCGGTTTGAAGGGTGGGATATGGCGTGAATTTACTGGGTACAGAGGAATAACAGCTGAATCCTCAGGAATGGCAACGCATGGGGGGTAACATGGGCGAAACAGTATACTCTGTTATGTCCATGGTACTGCTCATGTCTATAGGCGACGGTTACCACTTTCCATCAGGTGGGCCGTCAGCTTGTTTGCCATTCTAAGTTGTATAAAAAAAAAAATGTCATTAAAATTTATAATATCGTTTACGGTTTAGATCTATTAAGATCAATTTTGCCGTTTGGTTCCGGTATAGAATTTGGGTGCCTGCCTCTCCCGTGGGTGTCGTAAGAGGCGACTAGGAGAACATAATGGTCGTGGGATGAGCAGCAGCGTCCCTCTTAAAACAACATCAAAGTCTAACTTTCGTTGTCAACCTGCCTACCAAACGTGGCAACTATTGGCTGAACTCCCCTTTAAGGGAGAGATCTATCTCCAGCAGAGGACAGATAACGGCTGAAATAATTATAATAATGATGAAAATCTATTTTGGTTTCCATCATTCACGTACGAACATGTATATATTATTAAAGGAAGTAACACTATGTGAAATTAAAAGGGTCAAAACGAAATTATTCGTTCAAAATGCAAATAAAAAAATATCAGTAAAATTTACAATATCTTATAGTAATAATGACCACGAGTCGTCTAATCAACAGACATAATGTTTATGCAAATATTTTACAAAATAAGTTTTAAATTATTAATATACAGACATGCAGTTAATGTCGCGCTCGTGTCACGACTGCTCATGATTAAGAGTCCTGGATAGTCTCAAAACTAGTCGTGTTTCTTCGACTAAAATACACATAAATCTAGCTGAGTATTCTTACTTTAAAATACAACGTATACTTACGAAACTTAATAATAACAGTAAATTTGTGAAATTTTAAAATTGTTCACTTTATTGGGAGATACCTTTGGCACTCGGTTCTCTCCATTACCCCGTAAACGATCCGGCATGAAGATATAAAACAATTCTTTTATATCACGATCATTATATATTAATGTAATAACTACCGGTTTAACTTACGTGTAATTAGATCGAAAAAGCTCGACTAGTTTCGGAGTCAGTTCGTGATCCTTAGTCACGAGTGAGTGTGACTCGAGCATGAGCCTGATATATCCTAAACTTATGATTCTAAGATATATGATCCTATATATAAACGACAGTGCAATAAGCCCTAAAAGCACTGGACAGCAGAGGACTAGCCGAGCGAATACCTCCGCAGATCCTATCACGCCATATTGTTTGATTCTGTTTGGAGATCTAATCGCTCGATTTTTTACGAATCGATACATATCTAAAACACGGCCGGTTAATGCCGTTTTAATAGCGGCGTGATTTGTTTCTGATTGCCACTCCGGGACGCGGGCCGAATTATCAAAACGTTCGACTTATTTAGTTTTGATTGATGATTTACAAGTGTTACTTGTGGTGCGAGTTGAAAATAATACCCCCCACTCCAAGTACAGCAAACGATAATAGGATTAATCTCTTAATTTGCTTCAGGTTGGACATTGACGATATTTTTGTTTTTTACTTATCGCAGCAGCTTTAGATTTCGAATGTTAATAAGGAATGATTAGAATCGTATACACTATATATAAATGATTTTTTTTATACCACTTTGGTGGCAATCAAGCATACGGCCCACCTGATGGTAAGCGGTTACCGTAGCGTATGAACGCCTGCAATACCAGGGGTATTACGCGCGCGTTGCCGACCCTGAAGACTTTCCTGAAAACCTTCTTACCCCCCCTTTTGAAGAAGCCCATGCTGTAGTCTCTTGGAAAAACCTCGGCAGGGAGCTCATTCCATTATATATATATATATATATATATATATATATTATTAATATATATATATACATACTATTATTTGTATATACTATATATAATTGTATATGTACTGATACTAAGTACCACAGCCACATTGGATTAAATGTTAGGTAGAATATGGGCATATTTAATGTTACGTTCATCACAACGGCGATAGTGGGCAAATGCTTCTAATTACCTTTTTTTATCAATTAGAATCATGAACATATTTATTTATATTTTATATCACTGAGGCAGCAAACAATCATATGGCCCACCATCAGGTAAGCGGTTACTGTAGCCTATGAACACCTACAATACCAAGGGCCAATGCACGCTTTGCCGACCCTGAAGAAACCTCTTTACCCCTTTTTTAAAGAACCCCATGCTGTAGTCTCTTGGAAAACCCTCGACGGGAATTCTCATTGTCAGAGGCTCTTTTCATAACACAATTTTATATTTATTAAGTAATAAATCTGTGTTTAAATCTCTATTGTTCAAAATGGGCTCTACATCGGTGAACCTACTAGCTTCAAGCCACGACTGGTTCAAGTAGGTCTTCAGGGGTGTCACCGTGTTTTAAATGGTGATCTTGCTGCTAATATTCCATTACAATATATTTTGTACTAAATCACATTGACGACACGACAGTGTAATAACTGCCTAAACAATGTTAAAGCCCTGAACAGCATACACCGTCAGTGGAGTGTGCCCCCTGGACAAACAGACAGTGGCAAGGCAAGTGTAAGCGATGTTACACACATTTTATCTGCTGCGCCTTGTGTTGACGTCTGAACAAACACAAGGGTGGCGCTATCGTCCACAGCTTTAATTGATATTACAGACCTACTTGTGCGTTATGGAGCCCTGGTACTTACAGTGTCTGAGAGAATTTTATTACTTCAAATTGAGAAAACAGTTTTAGTCAATTTTAGACATATATATATTTTCAAAATGTTTATATTAAACTCCCAAAGTTAAAAATCAAACGTATTAAGTAAAAAGTATCCAACAAAATTACCCTTTAAAATATAGACCACTACTATAAGAACTATTTCTTTCATATCGGTTCTGTAATTCGATAAATTCAAATATCTAAAAAATATATACAATTTGATTATTGTACACACTAATTAGGTTAAGTACTTATACAAATGTGACCTTCTATTTCCTATGTCTTCAAAGAGTAATAGAGAAAATATAAAAGACGACTCTTGATTAAAAAAAAAACATCAACAATTTACTAATTGTTCGCACTGAAAGAAAAAGAAACGTAAATAAACATTCCGTAAAGCCTTAAATATCCGTTATATTTAGTTATGTTCAAATAATGTTCGGATGTTCGAATTTCAATTTGTTGTTTGTTTAATAACCTCATTCGGTCTTTGGATAACTAACTTTTGGATAAATAATTTATCTATACTCTAGTCTTATTATTATCTGTAGTCAGGATCTTATCCAATATCTAAATATTACAATTCAGAAATTCTTTATTAAAATTCTTTTCCATTATAGATAACTGGCTCTGAAAATTCCTTAGTTTGCGTCAATCTTAAAAAAAAAACAACTGCCATATCAACGTTAAACGAGTATAATCATAACACTAACCCCACCTATCACTTACTAATGACTTGTAAAAGATCTGTGTTTACTCATGCTACTGCACGCCCAGCAATATTTGACGAAGTTTAATGCCTCAAAAAGCAGTGACAAACCAAACACAGATGTGACATGAGCAAACAGCCACGGGTCGTCGTCACGGCTCGCCGTATCCAATCCTAAATGCGGTCAATAAATACCCATTGTTGGTTTTTAAATAATAAAACTATCGCTTTGGCCCTACTCTAGAGTACAATCTTTAAACGATTCGGAAAAAAATTTCATATACAGTTTGTTTTTTGAGGTTGGCAAACTTGGGCACATCAATTAAAAAAGTAATAAATTCGCACAAAATGGCGTTTAGATTTTCTTGGTGATAATAACGTTGATTTAAATCCGTTTTAATCTCAATTACATTAACACAAATTGATATTATAGATAAAGCAGTTATGTCTAAAACAAATCAAGTTTTTAATTACATTTATTGTTATGACCTCCAATGTGTAATTTCTTTAAAATATCATCAGATTAATTAAAATTTAACATTATTCATGACAAATGATGACTTTAAAATTGTCTTTACAGTAAGGAAGAAATAAAAAGTTGATTTAGAATCATATTACGAGGTTTAAGAACTAAATTAATTTTATGTTCCTGATTCTGATTACGAACTCAGAGTTCTTGGAATTTTAAATGACAATTTTCCGAACCCTGCAGCTGATTTATAAAAAAATACGATTTACAAGTGCTTGTTAACAAATGTATTTGAATAAAGATGATTTTGATTTGATTTTTCAATAAAAAATATTAGAAAACGATGAGACGTAGCAACTGGGTATGAAAATAACTAGATGTCCCTCTTGCAACATCCGCGGACCATATTAAGGCCGCCAACGTATACGCCCGTAGTGTATACTACTACACCATTAAGGCGTGTACAAAGAGATATAAATAGTAATAACGTTGATATCACAAAAGTTAAATGAACGACATATAAACGGGGCCAGGCAAGTCAATGGTGACAACTGGGCGCCGCGCCGCGTGCCGCGCGCCGACACATTGCAAGCGGCTCTTCACTGGCTTGTTAGTGGCAATAATTCTGCTCACGCTGAATACCTATGCTGTGTGGACAATAACCGCGCAAATATAAGGACTCGACAGTTGGCCACACAAAAACAACCACCTCGAGCGTTATTGGGGAATTGTCCTTCGAGTCAACAACGCCCAAGTAATCCCCTTTGCCGATATAAGGCATGAATTGATACAAATTGTGTAATAAACACGGACATGTGGCCGCTCATGCATACATATCGCTGCGAATAGCACACAAAAGGCAAAGGAATCTTAATTGAAGCAAATTATACGGAAAACTGTTGGAAGAAATGATCGAAAACTCAATCGGACGAGCTCGGATGCTATGAATCGAGTTTATGGCTGTGAAATTGTATTAAGAACTTCGTATTATGTTAGACGAGGAACTGAACTCGCATAGGGCAATGTTAGTCGTAAATCGACGCACTGTGCAAACATGTGCACGAGCACAGTGGCACCATATGTCACGGGCTCCGGGACAAAAACGAAAATTTACCCATTTTCGAGGCGAAGTTTGTTTTGTGCCCGGATGTCGTTGGATATGTTTGTGCACCTTATCTAAGCGGGTTTAAAACTCGAGGAGTGCATGAATGGCGCTTATCAGTGCCATGTTGCAGGTAAAGCTGACATCTTAGTTTATGGCGTTACGTCGCTGTCGTGCTACTGTTTTTAAATTCTATTTTAATAAGCCTGATTTATGTCGTTGAACCTGGTGGCATTGTGTTTAACATTCCTGCATTACGTTATAATGGTGCTTATGTTATAATTGGACACATTAATCTTATACACTAATAGGTAATTTGAAAGTAGAGTAATTTTACAACTATTTTTATGGCGTGTAATTTTTTTATTACGGCGTCCTCAACAGAGCGGCGATGGGCGAGCTTTAATCTAATTTGATTTCTGTAACAAAGTCAAACACTGTGCTCGCTGCCCCCGCTTGCCCGGCAATTCGTAATGCCTTAGATTTTATTTGTTAAAAATCGGTTAAGTATCCGTGTCGAACGGCGGCGGTGGGTGGCCGCCATCTTATTTTTATTATTTCACTTTTTGTCCGAGCTAGCCGCGGGAGGCGCACGGTGCGATTCAGCTTTTTATGAGTGACATTTTATATGTTTTTTTTTTTTAAATCTTATTCCCTTATTTTGTTATTCCGAGAAATATTTCTCGTTTACCTGTGGTTAATTTTAGACAGCTCTTTAACTAATCAAATCGTAAATTATTTGGTCGCTCGAGAAGTGAACTATAAAATGTTCACAATTTTATAGAGTATTAAACTGATCCTAAGTATTTTATTTATGTTTTGGGAGGACGGTGGACGTAATAAAAACTTGGTATACTTACTAATGAGTCTACCTCTGGGTCTGCTATGTAATAAGGTTTTTCTTGGCGTATCTGTAAACAGAGAAACAAAGGGATATTAAATACAAATAAATGCAAACAGTATTTATTATAAACAATTAGTTCACAGTATTGTGAATATTATAATGTAAGCAGGCACTTTACTCGTGGTAGATTAATGACGAGCGTAACCGGGTCGTAATGCCTGTACGTGGTTAATAAAATGCTCGTTCGGTTGGCTGCGCGCGCGCACACGTCAAAGAATAGTTCAGACAGACCCGTTATATGCCTATGGCATTCTTTTTATAACATTATTACAACAAAATCGCAACAACAATTTAAAATATTTGTGTATTTTGTTTATAATTATTTCGTTGGAATCACGCTGAAACATTCGTTCTTTAAATTGTCATGTTATACATAATGAATGCTAATAATTTTTCTCACCTCCAAGTGTCAACAGTGATTAAGGCTAATGACCCCAATTTACTTGGGCGGGTTCTTTAATCAATATTACGTAGTCGAATATTCAAAACATGACATGTGAAGAGGAAATATTTGAAAATGGAATCGAGTTTATACGAAACCAGTCCAATTAGCATACAGCCGAAATAGTCAAAGAGTAAAAACATATACTGCCTTAATAGGCAACGTAGTTTCCACTGACATGATTAAATTAATAACAGTCTGTATGTTATTAATCTATGCGCTTACTTAAGAAACACTTTTTTCGACATTTAACTGAACCTGACCGGAAATGTGATACTATCATGCATGCCCGCTGTCAGGATTTTTTTTTTTCGTAACACACTATCGACACTAGGCACAGGCACGGTGCTCATTAAGCCTATTTTTAATTATGACGTGTTCTCTTTTAGAAATTTGTTAATTACAAAATTATCTTATAAGTAAATCGGTACGAGTAATGTAATAAGTAGTGTGTCCCAATTAGATGCCAGTGTGCTCGCTGGGTAAATATTTAATGGAATTTATCTCCGCTTGCATTCTAAGGCTACGATCTCACTGCGCGATTAGAGCGATTTAGAAGCGAAACATTTTTATTAGATGTATAATATTTATAAATATGCAATTTTTTTTTTATATCTGTGTTTTTATTTATTAATTATATTAATTCGTGTTTCTACCGTGAAGCAGTTATGTTTGCATGGTTGTGTTTCGGTTTGAAGGGATATGGCAGTGAATTTACAGGGTACAGAGGAATAATACCTGAATCCTCAGGAATGGCAATGCATGGGGGGTATCGTGAACGGAACAGTATACTCTGTTATGTCCATGGTACTGCTCAAATCTATAGGCGACGGTTACCACTTTCCATCTGGTGGGCCGTTAGCTTGTTTGCCATTCTAAATTACAAGAAAAAAAAAAGTTAATTTTTAAGCACAAAACAGCGAAAAGAATTTTAATGACATTCCGTACGTAAAGAGGCCATATCTTAGATAAACACACGAACTTTTTTTTCAGGCATTATTCGAGCAAAGACGTGATAAGTTTTTTTTTTAAAACAATATATTTACACAGAGCGGTGTACATACAAATTGACACAAATTACACGTGTATGCAATGCACAATATTTTGTAATTGTAAATTACAATAAAACTGTTACTGTAAATTACAAAACGGCGTCGCACACCGTGTGCTAAGTGGCAAACGGATTAAATTAACGAAAAAAAACCTCATGTGCTGAACAATCCGCCATTCGAGTCGGCGGCCGTATAAACAATGACCCGATTTACATAAAACTTCACTAAAGGTACAGACACACGGAGCGGTTTTTAAACGCGCCCGCCGCGGTTGCTGTCTTGCGTAGATACTCTCCGTCTCTCTCTCACACACTTACTTGCTCACTCACATACACACACACACACACTCCTAGATCTACTATCACAGTCTTATTTATACTAATATTATCAAGAAAAAAGAACTGATTCTTTGTAACGGATAAACTTAAAAACTAAACTTATTTTAAGAATAACCGCACCCGCTGCGGCTAAAAAACGCTCCGTTAGCGTTTTTTAGCCGCAGCGGGTGCGGTTAAAAAACGCTCCGTGAGTTTGTAAACTTTTTACTTGGCCAGCACTGAACATTATATTCTGGTGTTTGGACTTGACCAATTGGTATTTTTTTCAGTCACTCAGATTGACAAACAGTCTGATGGACTGTCCACCTAACGGTCACAGACATGACCACTATATGGACATCACAGTATATACTGTGACACCTATCTGTTGCATATGTTAAACAATTCCTTTATAAATTCACAGCTAAGGCGAAATAACTCTTGCGTAAGAGATTGCACATTGCATTTGTTACACAGAGCGGGGGATGCACTATAAAAATTATAGGCAAAACCATAAACAAGCCTCTATGTATTTTAGCGGGAAACAGCAGATGATACCAATTAGACAATTGTCGACTTTATGCCTTCGCAATAAGAGTTTAGTTACTCGCCACGATTCATATGAAGTTGATTTATTGCTGAACCATAAATATGTTTTAAGACGTATTGATTATGAACAATAATTGTTGTCTTCGACATATAATTATAATAATTTTTATATTTTATCTCATCGGAAATCTCCAGAAACATTTTTTTTTTTGTATTTATTTGAGATCTTAATGAGGTAAGATTTAAATATTTATGTGTTAGGTATTAAAACCATTATTTACACAACCGTGTCTTTATATAGCGAGAAGAGGGGGGGGGGGGGGATAATACAATTAGCAATACACCCTGTCAGGTCGACCTCCACGTGGTCCTCCCTAGAAATTATCGTGCTGATTTCCAGATGTACTCGTCACGATGGTCTAACTGACCTGCCTTTTTATCCTCACCTATCATCCGTCACTGGTGCCCCGCCAGCGCAGGCGGGATTACCGTTCCATTTTCACCCATTAAAAAAAATCTAGGTTTTTTTATACAAGTTAGAATGGCAAACAAGCTGACTGCCCACCTGATGGAAAGTGGTAACCGTCGCCTATAAACATGAGCAGTACCATGGACATAACGGAGTATACTGTTTCGCCCATGATACCCCCCATGCGTTGTTATTCCTGAGGACTCAGGTGTTATTCCTCTGTACCCAGTAAATTCACTAACTAACTAACGTAACGTAACTAAAAGAAACATTTATCCCTTCATTACAAAGCCACCCCTTTCTTTCCCATGGGTGTCGTAAGAGGCGACCAAGATAGGGCGAGGAATGGGCAACAGCGTCCTTCTTAAAAAATCTCCAAAGCTTAACTACGGTTGCCAATCCATCTGCCAAGCGTGGTAACTACTGGCAAAACCCTCCAAGGGGAGGCTGATGTTCAGTGATGGACAATTAAAGGCTCATATATTGATTATCATAGAAATTATACATAGAAAAAACATCCAAACTATTAGAAACAAACACACAAATGTTTGTATTGTTCAGAAATCGAAGCCACGACCATCAGAAGATTCCAAATTTAAATAGCTTAGAGACATCATACAGAGCTCGTTTCACCTCCCATAAATGCATGGTACCTATATCTACAAGCGAACGCCATAAATAAAGTGGTTTCATTGCAACATTTACTGTTTACACGCTGTTTTACTATCAATCAGAAATACCTCTCGAACCCCCCTCTGGGGACGACGGGGAGCTAATAAATATCAATAATACCATTACGAGAGTCCATTCTTTCATTACACTTTAGTTAATTTACTTTTTTTTTTGGTGTTTTTTAAAGCGATTTCAAAATGGAGACCGTTTTCTATTCTAGTCGAGAGATGGGCAGTAGAGTCGCTCCAAAAACTAAGCCAAAATTTAATTGCACACACCCAAAAAATACAATTGATTTTGACGTCCATTTTGTGTCGTTTAAAAGTCGAAATAAAATAATGGAAAAGATTAATTAAATAGAGATGCAAATTAATTTTCCATCCTTTTTTTACCTAACCACGTGTGGGTCGCGTACTTAATATAATATCGTAATAATCAAGTCTACAATCCACAATTACACACCAGTTACATATCCGAGTTGGAACAAGATGGATTCCCCAAAATTGCCCCCCGACGAACGGGCTGACCAATCCTAATGTGTCCGAGCGTGGAATACGGCATACGCATACATGTGAACACGTAAATAAAGCCCCTCCCCCACCCTCGGGCGAGGAAGTCCCTCATTTAGGGGGGCAGCGACCCGTGAAGCCCCCCACTTTTCGACAGCACCAATTAAATGCTAATAAGCCATGCGATCGGCCGATATCGTGTCTTGAAGTAACAATTTTTGTATCACACGGAGATTTAAAATGCACTATAGATATATCTAATGGGTGCTTTAGGAGCGCAGACATTATTGTAATAGATGTCGCAACTGGATTTATTTTGTAAAATAAGGCTTAATTCGTTGAAATATTTCCTTTGTACTCGCTGTATCCCGCGGCGTTGCCCAAAGAATCAGTATAAATTTCCTATATGCTAAGTTAGTTAACTTAACCCTTCTTTGCATGATTTTTTTTTATTGGTAAAATGAATCAAGGTTATGTAATTTATGTTCAAAATTAAAAGAAAAATTGTTAAAAAAATAAATTTGACAGCTATGTTTTTTTTCTGCAATTGACATTAAAAAGGTATCCAGAAACGATCAACTTAAAGTGAACTTGTTCTTTTATATAATTTTTGGGCACTCAATGTTATGATGGAAATTTCCACCATTATGCAAAGAAGGGTTAACCGTGTCTCAAATTTCACTGAAATCCATTCACTGAACTCAACCTAATCGTTCTGTCGGTGAACGGTCTTATCGTAACCATGGATAACCACCTCAGACAGTTGGTACTCCGAGGCGGCTCACTCCCGGGAAGGATGCAGAAAGCGGTGCTCTTAGATACTGCCCGCATTCTACGCCGGTTTCTCTCCCTGGGACCCTGAACCTAACTGTGCTTCTGCCGAGGGTTAATTTGCCATCTCCCTTACATAAGAGAATTTTGTTTAAAAAAAATTATAAGTTTTAAAGGCTGAGAAGTTTACAAGATAATAATATATTATTATAGAAAAAAAATATGG